TTGTCAGATTTTGTTTTTGGTACTTTGAAAAAAAAAATATTTATCAGGTTCTCATTCAAAACTGGTCAAAAAATATCATAATCCATGGTACATTCCCTTTTTTTATCGAAGTATTAACATCCGCCTGAAACTTCGTAAATAGTTTCATCTCATCGTAACCTACAACTATCTTATTTACAAAATAAAAATTGGAATTGGAGCGTTTTCAATTTGGAGAGGGGCAAACTTTGTCTATTTAATTACGTACTATAAACTCGTAAATAACCATTTTCTTTCTACTTGGAACGTAAGATAATTTGATCACGAAATCGAGGAAAAAGGTGGCCTTCAAAAATATTGATCCATTCGGCGTGACTTACACCCCCAAATTTTGAAAATAACTATGTTATATAGAACAAACGGCCCAATATATTTGTAGACCATCTTTTTTATCAATTTTCTGATCAAATTATCTCCTGCTCCACGGAGATAGCATATGGCTATTTACAAGTTTTTAGTATGTCATTAAACAGGCAAAGTTTGTCCTTTTTCAAATTGAAAACGCCCTATTTCCAACAGTTTTCATAAATAAAATATTTGTAGGTTACGATGAGATAAATCTATTTACGAAGTTTCAGCCGGATGTTAATAATTCGATAAAAAGGGGTTTGTACCACGGACTATTATTTGAATGTTTAAATTAAAAGAAATCGAAAGTTTTCGATTTTTTTAATAATGAGAGAAGTTAATATTGTATTAGGTTTTAGAAAACACAAACATCAGTTTGAAGAACAGAATTTTAATTTAAAAACTTCATCCAAAATAAAACAAAAAACATTCATTTAGTTTTTAATACAAAAGTAATCATGATTTTTCTGACGGTTAATTAATGCAACTAATAAAAAGAGAAAACTGTCTGAAGATAAACTATTCAATATTTTAACGTTAGTTTTTATAATTTATGTGAAGAGAAAAAAAATGTAATATTACGACAAGTGGTTAAAGATCGTTAAAGGAAATAGTATAATATAAATAAGCTTCGCTATAAAGAAACTTCTCATATATTTACGAGCAGAATATAATAACTGTGTTAAAAGGCTTTGCAATTCATAATAAGAAAACGAATAACTAATCAGAAAAAATACACAAGGGCATACGATATACATAAATTTGTGAGATATTTATAATTTAGGCTAAATTGTATATCAGCGTACATTTATTAAATTTTTTTCGGTATAGAATGTTTTGGTCGTTACGCCATCTTCAGGTCATTATAAGAAGAAAAAAATACTATCTTAAAAAATTTAATTCTTAATTAAACAGCACGTTGGGGCGGGTTGGGAGGCGGAGGGAGGGTTCTGAACGTTGTGGGGTCGATCCTACAAAAATATTGGGTTGTTTGGCCTATATAACCTTGTTATTTTGATATTTTGGGGGGGTGAAGGTCATCCCAAACGACCTTAATATTTTTTTAGGCTATCTATTTTTTTTCGACTTTATGATGCTATTATCTTAAGATTCAAGTGTAAAGGAAATGGGTATTCATGAGTTTTTAGTTCGTAATTAAATAGATAAAGTTTGCTGATCTCCCAATTCCGAGAATTTTCGTAAATAAAATATTTGTAGGTTACGATGAGATAAATCTATTTACGAAGTTTTATACGGATGTTAATAATTCGATAAAAAGTGGTCTGTACCACGAACTATTATCAAGAATAAAATCCTGCATACAAACAAATACACAACATTCCATTCATCAAGTATTAATCACAAAATTCCATTTATTTTGCCTCTTATTACTCCTGATTACCTAGTGAGCCAATACAAAGAAAAAACAGTGGACTACAGATCTCCTACTGACGATGTAAACAAGTATCAAGAATAAAAGAAGAGAGAATAAACGACAACACATTTATGTACGCTCAATAAGGCAGTGGCAAATATAATGTAAAATAAAATAAATAAAAGGTAATAGAAAGTCCGAGATTTTTTTTTCTAAATCTGAAAATATATAATCAAAAATTGTAATTATTTATTGCGTGAAACGTAAAACACTTAACAAACGACTCAAAATACTTTACTCTCGTTTTTCTAAATCTTCAAAACTAAAACTAAAACAGAAACTGAATACATGTACATATGCAATGTAATGGCATATGAAGACGACATTGCTATATACAGTAGCAGCATGAACGCTTCAAAAGCATTAAAAGAAGCGGAAGAAACTTGCAATGTCATACAAAATGAACTTAAATTGTTAAATATTCAAGTAAATTCTACAAAAACTGATTGTATAATATTTTCGTTTCAAAAAAATAAGAAAAAATTACCTAAGAAATTTCGAGTTGGTGATTCATACAAAATATTAATTAATTTGGTCTATCTAGAAATGAAATTTGACAGACATCAAAAATTTACCGCTCATTGCACTTCAAAGCTATCAAAAGTTAGACAAAAATCCTAAAAATTCAGTCACCTCCTCACAACCTCAAACCTCAGTCTCAGATTAAAATTAATCATCTACAAAACAATTCTTCGCCATTCCCTTCTCTATGGTGCTCCTCTATTGTCCCACATATCCGAAAATACAAGCAAGAGACTCCAGCGATTCCAAAATGGAATTCTAATCAGAATAGCTAAAAATACGTCATTGGAAAAACAAAAACCAGATAAACTTCAAACCTTCTTAAATTTACCCACCGTATCTGAATTCTTAAACAAAAGAATAATAAAATTCTACGATTCGTTTCCGCTATCTCCTCGGCGATGGCAAAATATAGCTGTAAGTTAGATTATAAGATAGTCCTAAGAAAATTATCAAGATAGAGGTGAGCCCCATCACCCAGATTGAAGTCCAGAAATAAAGATAAAGAAAACTAAGAAAGGCTCAGGAAGACCTTAAAATGTATCTAAGATACACTAAAAGGAATATGTAAAAAAAAAAAAATGTACATACTAACTTGAGCTCATATGGACATACTCATCACAAATATACGGCATCGCTAAAACGTTTCAATCAAAATTATTGCGACCCATAACAAAAGCACCATGGTACGTGACTAACAAAACTCTACATACTGACCTCCACTTTCCAACAGTTGACCAATATACAACGACCCTTAATCAACAATTTTACACAAATTTTAACGGACATAATAACAGACTAATAAGATTTGGCCTCAGCTGACATATCTCAGAACATGAGGAGGAGACTAAAAATGCGTTGGATGAGAGATCTTCTTCCTTCGGCAACCTAAGTAATTGGAACAAGTTAGGGAAGAGGTACTGCTGAGTACTTTCCTTCCCCATGCCTGTCATGTCATTATTTCATGTTTCGCCATCACATTTGCTGATTGTCAACAATAAGTTGACAGGTGCAAATACATCCCTCAAAATGGCCTCGTACATTTATTCTACAGCATATCAACTAACATATACAGCAAGTATTTGTTCGATTTTTAAAATATTATTTTTGAGAATTTTTCTTTTTTGTTCCGCTGTGTGAAGGTAGCTTGCGAAATTCCAATTGCAACCATAGCAAAAGAGAATGGAAGATACTTCTAATTCACTTTTCTCCAGAACTGAATACGGTAAGGAATGGAGACGAAAGGGAACAGACACTGGAAATCTGGAGAATAGAGAGAGTGTAGAAGATTGCTGCTCCAGATGTCAACTGGACGAGTTTGTTCCACTGGATAAAACTTTATAGATATAATAATATGTTTCAACTTCCAATTAATATATATATATATATATATATATATATATATATATATATATATATATATATATATATATATATATATATATAATATATATATATATATATATATATATATATATATATATATATATATAAAGAGTTCCATTTACATTACATTGAAAACAATAATTTATTGTAATAAAAAAACATCCTTTTGATATCTTATTTTTCTTGTTTTTATGTTATGTTATGTTTTATGATCTTTTCTTGTGTTATGTTTCTTAGTGAGGGGATGTTTGGCGGTTTGTGGTTCAGGAAATTTTCACTTTATAGAGAACACAAGCAAATGTTACAGTGAATAAATGTGTTTACATAGATATTTTGAGAAGAAGCTTGAAAGAAATTTCGGAAAATATGGTTGGTTTTTATATAAATTAACGAATGAATAATTCATAACTGCCCTAAAGTAGCCACATATACTCATCTCTTTAGTGGAGAATCTGGCCTTCGCCAGAACTCCATGATATATACTCCAAAAGATCTCTGGGCCACTGCCGCTTCAATCTTCGTGGAGGATTGTAGGGATGAGTGGAACTAGGTAGGGATCGTACTAGGAGATTTGGATGATTTGAAAGATTCTGGTGAAATTTGGAAAAATTTTCAGGGATAAGGTCATGGTGTAGGGTTTTGTTGGTTACATAGAACGGAGCATCGACTATTGTTCGGAGGACTTTGGACTGAAAGGATTGGATGCATGTAATGTTAGAAAATTTAGCTGTCCCCCAAAGTCCAAGTCCGTAGTCTGTTTAATTGTTCGTACCTTCTGTTAAATCTTTGTCTTTTAAGTCTATTAGCGTTTTTCAGTTATCGAATTCTTATTTTAATAAATTTGCGAAAATACCACTATTGACTCCTAAAAATTTTCGGCTTCGTCTTCGATGGACGACATTTGCCTACTTAATTGTCTCATATCTTCTCTTAATGGCTCGATTTAATGATGCAGTTCGTTCAAATGCCTTATTTATAAATTCAATCTTATAAATGGCTTATTTATTGTAACTTGTTTAAAATCTGTTGTAAACCAAATCATAATGCTAAGATATGTATGAAATATTGTTTATTAGTGAAATTATGTTTATTTGTAATTAGACAAAACATTAAAATATGTAAGGTTTAACAGTATAAAAGAGACACAAAGTTTTGTAGGATTTGAATTTTATACTATTTATACGCGGAAGTCCGCTAGGTTCAAGATCGTGTCGTAATTACCAACTTCTTTTCTTTTGTTCTTGTTTCAGTTAACCTTTGGGTTTCGGGAATGAAAATACTAATTGCGCTAAACTCATCCTTCACTACCCGACCTCCACCTGGCGGTAATTAGTGTAGTTGCACACCTGGATCCGAATTAGTCAGTCAATTATTTTTTCCGATAGCAGATAAGATTAATAAAACAAAACTATTTAAAATATGAAATAATTATCTCTGGCTATAGCTGTTTTCTTTAAATCTGGGTCATTCACAAACAATAGATAAGTAAATTGACTATAATAGGCTTATTTATCGCTTCAAACTAAATTTTATATTTACTATTATACTGCCTAATTATTAGAGATAGGAATTCCTGAATCCATAAACTTTATAATCATTGGAATATACAGGGTGTTTCGTAATTGCAAGGCACTATTTTAGGTATGTGTTCACTAACACAAAATAAACATAAACGTTCATATTAACATATATCTTAAACTCATTTATTAAACAGATATCAAAGGTTAAAGGTTAAAGAATTATTATTTATTTTATCCCTGTCGAACAAATCCGATACCTAGGACTCCACCTTGACAAACGACTCACTTGGAACCCCCATACCAGACTGAAACGACTAGAAACCGCCCGACGTTTTCGACTACTGCAGCACTTACTAGGCAACCACTCTAAGCTTACAATCAATTACAAAAGACTCATATATATGACAATAATAAGACCTATTTAGACTTACGGAATTGAGCTTTGGGGCTCCATTAAACCATCGAATTCCTCTCGTATCCAATCCTTACAATCCAAAATCCTTCGTAAAATCCTCAACGCTCCTTACTTTGTCACAAACAAAATCATCCATAAAGACCTTAATGTTCCATATGTTTCCGATTTGGCCCAATCCAGATACCTATCCTTCCATAACAAACTGCAGAACCATCTGAATTCTCTCGTTTCAAACCTGACTTCCTCCTCGATCTCTGATAATCCTCCGAGGCGTCTGAAAAGAAGATGGCCTCGGGACCTTCTAATATAGAACTTTAATTTGAGTTCTACCAATGGGTAGTTTCTCTTCATGTTGTACATGTCAGGTTACCAATGTCACATTTACTTTTTGTATTTTCCATGTAATACAGTAGTAAATTTCAGTAAAATAAAAAAAATTATAATAAAAAAAAATTTAATTACTGCATTAAGACTGACTGTACATAGTTTTACGTGTTTAATACTAAATAACAGGTTTTGATCACCTTATAAACAAATGAACGATAAGCAATGACAGTAGTTGCTCATCTGTTTGTCTATTTCTGTGTGTTTTAGTGTGAGTGAATACTGTGACACAGTTCAATTTATGATTATCATGGGAGAAACCAGAAATTGTATTCACTTTTGCAGAACAAAAAGACATGTTTTTATCTTATGACGAGGTACGTCATAATAGAAACGGTGCTGTTCGAAGATATCGTGAAAAATTTCCTAATCGAAGAATACGAAATCTTAAAACGTTTGAGGTCATTGAAAGACGCCTTAGGGATAATGCCACGCTAAAACCTACACGAGTAAACGCTGGTCGACAAAGATTTAATACGCTGGTCGAACTGCAACCATTGAAGACGAAATACTCAATGCTGTTCAGTTATCGTTTACGTTCAGTTACTAACTTTACGCGAACAACAATTGTATCTATTTCACGTATCGAGTAGAAATTTCTCCCAGTGGTTAATTCGACAATGCACACGAGATCCTAACTTCCTGAACTCCATTTTGGTTACTGATGAATCTTGCTTTACAAGAAACAGGATTCTTAATTTTCGAAATACCCATACTTAGGCTGAAGAAAACCCTCATACGACTGCTGTTGGACATTACTAACATATCTTTTCTTTAATGTTTGGTGTGGTCTTCTAAGCGACAACATCATCGGTCACTTCTTTTTGCTCTCTAGGTTGTCAGGAATGTCTTACTTGCATTCTTTGCAAAATAATCTTCAAGAACTAGAAGATATTCCGCTAGGCATTAGGCAAAGACTGTGGTTAATGCATGACGGTGCTCCAGCTCAATTTTCTAATAGTGTCACTGATTATTTAAATGCAACTTATGGAGACCGGTTGGTCGAAACGGACTTGTCAAATGGCCACCACGATCTCCGGATTTAACGCCATTAGATTATTTTATGTGGGGCTAGATGAAGTCTATGGTTTATTCTGCGGTAGTTGGCACGCAAAAAGAGCAAAGAAATTGGATCATGGAAGCCGCAGTAACTATCAAGCACCATCCAGAGAAGCATGGAAGCATGGAAGGCCCCTTTGAACAGTTACCCTAAATGTTGTAATAATAATAAATAAATAATAAATGTTTAACCTTTGATATCTGTTTAATAAATGAGTTTGAGATATATGTTAATACGCACTGTTTTGTTTATTTTGTGTTATTAAGTACATATCTAAAATAGTGCCGTGCAATTACGAAACACCCTGTATATCTACTTACAAACCGTTAGCGGACACTACAAACTACAAATTACAAAGACAGGGATACAACCCACATGCTGGAAAACACCCGCAGATTGCTGAAGAGAAGATAGGTGAGGGATCTCGCGTTAGAGCCACCCACGTTTGATTTAAAGCCTGGAGGAAGTGCTACAGCTTTTTACATTCTTCAGTTAAAAGTTTAATAGTAATTATTCAAACTTTATAAGCCATGAGTATCTAACGTAAAGATAAACAGTTAACTTGCCAACGTTTCGATGCTTCATAAATCATCAGGGCAGAACAGACAATATCACATATATGCAGAAAGAAGGAGAAAAAATACATTTTCTGTTGACATCCCATCAATCCATACAAATACAACACAGGTTCCGTAAACACAGCATAGGAAGGTTATATTGAACCGCTAATTAATAGGAATAACAATATAAAAATTCTTTTATATTTTGTAACCAAGATTAAGGAAGCATTGGAAAAAAAAAACTCTTTTTTTTTTTTGTTCCCTGTGCCTGATTATTAAATCATATTTTGGCATGTGCATGTGCTCTTAGTTCTTATATATATCCCTTGTATCTTGATTATCTTTTCTCTATGTTTAGATTTGGCATGCCAGACTATTGTATATAGAATAAGTATCTTTTTTGTTATTTTTATTATCTTAAATATCTTCCTATTTATCTTTAATTGTATGTAGTAATTATGTTTAAATTCTCTCTTTTTCCTTGTATTTTATTTCTGTTTATTGTACATAGTATTAATTCTGTAAATATTTCTTTCTGTAAATAGATCTCTTAACCTTTTTTTTGCTGCTTTATAAAAATATCCAACCTAACCCCTTCTCACCAGAGCCTAGCATGGTAGAACAAATATTTAATGATGGCCAAATAATGGATAAGTACCATATGTTTTCTAGATTTATCTCTTTAGAGATGAAAGGCGCCCAACAAATAAAAATTCTGATAGAAAATTATATTTACTAAAACTTATTTTATTATCTTTTTATTTATCCTTTTTTGTTCATAATCTATTAATATGTTTTTCTTTTTCTATTTAATTTACTTAAAACATTCTTATATTAATATGTTTTAGGTATGCGTATTTTTTCTACATTTTATCTTTGCCAATCAGCTGTTAAATATAACCTCCCACAGCTGTGTTTATGTCTGTTGTTTCCTTCAGTATGAACCGTCATAGAAGTTGCATCACATATTTCTTTTAATTCTTATATTGATAACTTTGATTCTATTGAATATTTTGGTTTATCTTTATTTATTAAGGTTTCAAGAAAACTTTAATATTATTCGAAACGACTTTGCAGGTCTTCTTCAGGGATTTGTGTTCAGCTAGAAGTTTCACTTAAAACTCATGAGTTGTAAAAAAAAAGGCTCATGTTTTTGACATCTTGAGACAAGCAGGTGATATGCAATAGAGTGAATTTTTTGGTTTATTATTTTCAATAATCAACAAGTAAGTATCCATAATAAACAAAAAAGTATACACTTTTTTGTCGATATTGTGTTAAGATGTTTCAAAGGTATTTAAATTTCCTACAAAATGAAGGAAATTTAATCGAAATCAAAGCACTATTAGTAGAGATATCGCGATTTTTAAATACGTTTGGTTCATTATTTTCGAAAATCAACCATTGTGATCGACCAAAAAATTCAAAAACTTACTTCCCTCTCAAAATTTGAGGTTTCACGTTTTTTTTTTCCATTTAAATGCCGTTAAAAAAAAATTAAAAGTCACAGTCAAATTTCGTGTAGTGTTTGCGCATGGCCTTGCGTTGCGTCATAAAGAGCAAAGAATTACGTAATCGGAACTGCGAAGGCAACACCTCACGATTACAAAAAAAATACAAGAGTTTTGGAAGATCCCAAACGCGACCTCTAATGAGAAAAATGTGAATCATTCTCAAGGAAGATGACTGGGGTATCTAGTAGTAACAGAGTGAATTATGGATTCAGTGTTATTTCTATGATATAAATAAAAATCTTTTCCTCAAATATGATACTACATTATGTTAATTTATTTTTCCGATATTAAAAAATTTATAAATTTTACATTATATTTTTTTTTTAAAAAACCTGTACCACTATAACTGATGAAGGGTCTTGGGTTCAGTACTATTTAGGGAAAGTCAACGGTTGTGCTAAAAGGTGATTTGACTTAGACCACGCTCAACCGCCAGGTTTCTCCTCCCCCCTACCCACTTTGTAGAGACTGGGTGTGCCCAATGATGTAACAGGCCAAGTTTCGCATCAATAAAGAACTGTAGGCAAGATAATTGTTTTATAGATTCTAATTTTTAAGTTCTGGGACAAGAGGCGCGAACTAAGTAGTTTTGTCAGAGAAAAATAATAAGCATTTCCCGCCTTCAGTCTAACCTTAATCTCTTCTTTAATTTCGTTTTTTCTAGTTTAAATATGATAACACGTTGTATTTATAAAATCACAAAAAAAACGTAAATATTATTTTAATTCTTATCAGTAAAAGTGATTTACTGTATTTCTTACTTTTTAGTAAAATATCAAGAGATATCTTGGCGAAAACAGGAAGATATTTTTCCAAGCGCCTGGAGCCATGGCTGGCTGGAACGGAGAAGCTGTAGGTTCCCACAGTCCTAACTGCATTATAATTACCCTCCAGACTTCTGGGAGGGGAGACCATATGAACACGGGAGATGTCTAATTGTCTGTCTATGGATAACTGTACACAATGTCAGCTCCGGGAGCTCCTAGGATCCAGTCACTGTGGCATTGGGTTGTTCCTTCTGAGGAGTGGGTCACATATATCGAAATATAAATATATAAATTATTTAAATATATATTTTATGTATGAATATCGTATATGTTGTTTATATTTGGATATATGCAGAGTGTATGGGCCAAGTTAAGCATTGCCGAGCGTGGTTAGCACTTGGATGGGTGACCGACCACCAGGGAAAGCAACGCTGCCCGAGACCCCGGGGTTTGTAAGGCCCGTGAGCCTACTGGAGGCAACTCATACCGACCGGGCGTAGGACTGAAGACCATACCCCCGTGTACTTAAATCAGGAATTAGGATGTGGTCTAGAAAACCACATCTCGCTGTCAAAGATCTACAAGGTTACAAGATCTGTAGTACCAACCGAAAAAAAATATGCAGTGTGTGTAGAATAAATACAATGACAATTACGAGGTCACATATAAAAACAAAATGGATTTGTGATTTTCACCTTGCATTAGGTCACTCATTCATTTTTTTTTTTATAAATAAACATAAACATAACAATCTAAAATGATTTTTAAAAATATTGATTAATTAATAAATAGGTATGAATGTGTTTTATGTTTTTTTAATTTACTTATCTTTTGGTTATTTTGTTTTATTTTTTTATTGTACATTGTTTTTGATTATTATTTTACTTTTGTTAATTTTATATATGGTATTCTGTATATATGGTATGAAAGTATTCATATATCACTATAATCATTGTCCACGTAACAGATTGTTATATTTGTAAATTAAAAAAAATATAAAAAATTTAATAAATAGGATCCTTTTTTATTACGAAAAGAAAAATACAATTTTTACTTACAATGAAAACTTTTATTTAATAATATTACATTTTAATTTATTTTTAATGTTTCGTGTATTTTCAAATGTAATGTCTTTATATACTGTTAACGACCCTGATATAAAACTTGTAAATCCAAACCTGCAATAAAAACTATTTAATCTCTGATTAAGAAAAAAAAAAGAAAAAAAAAAAATATATATATATATATTTATATATATATGTATACAAACTATACATCAGCAAACCCCAACACTTAGTTCTAGGGTATGCGCTACATCGATAAAATGTAACCCAAATTACACATGATACAGTGAGAAACTGCATTATTCGAGAAAAATCGGACAAACATGAGATATAAAATAATAAAAATACTAGTAAATGTACGAATTAGGGCTTTATAGGGTCACTTTTAATAAAATAATTTATTTAAAATTATCTAAATTTTCGCCACTTCTGGCATCATCAGGGGTACAATCAGATATTAAAATATTATGTCAACTTTCATCTGTAAAATATATAAATCAACAATAATATTATGTACATCTGTGTGTTCATTCCTAATAAACACGGCTGCAAAATAAATTTTATGGTTATAAAATTTTAAATTTAATAATAAAACAGTAAATTTATTACCGATAATTAATATAGGGTAATAATTAATAAAATTACTTTTACATCAATAATAAATTTTCAAGTTAATTTATTATTAGCCATATTTACACCAATTAAAAAAAAAATTTTGTCTCGCAACATAATATGCAAACTAAACATGAATTTGATTTCAAAAATGCCAAAATCCTACATAATGAAAGAAATACGAATAAACGTAGAATTAAAGAATCAATATACATAACTAAAAACTTAAAAAACTCAGTAAATAATCATACAGACGTGGATAATATGAATACTTTTTACGCTAGTTCTATTGAAAAAATCAAAATTTGAAATAAATCAGCTAATATTACTTAAAATAGATCCACATGTAATATTGAGTAACAGCATTATATATGTTCATAATAAATAGTCTTCCCCTACTCCTATAAGAATAACCAGTCACTGAATAGAAATGAGATGGATGACATGTGGGTGACTCAGAAACAAGTTA